AACAGTAGTTCCTGTTTTGAATCTGCAGAACCAATAAATCAGAGATAAAATCGATTATTCAAATCAGAACCCCGAAAAATGGACATCTGTCGACTCAAAGTTAATTTGTAGAGCATTCCATAGATTAAATTTGGTCAAATCTGACTGTAATCTTAAGCACCTCATGACAATACCTCTATATATCCGTGTTGATTTGAAAATTAATGAGGAAACATGGAAACTCGCCGTCACTAAAAGAACCCTGTCGTATGATACAAGACTCGAGACGATAGAAGTGTTTAGTATTCTGAACTGCGCTGGATGTACGGGCGCGTTATATTCTGATATACGACCTCGTTATAACATACCCCCATCTGACAGTATGAGCAGAATACTACATATCGTATGCTGGTAGTATGCGCACAATGTTGTATTATCCTATTCTGGAGTAATTCAATATTGCAAACCCTATTTTAATACTATAAGCTTAATGTTACATATCCTATCCCGGTAGTATGAGCACAATCCTACATAATTCTACACTGGTAGTATAAACTCAAATGTTACATATATTCTCTTTTGATACTATAAGCTCAATACTATATATCCTATCCCGGTACCATGACAACAATACTACATAATCCTATTCTGGTAGTATAAACTCAATACTGCACTTACTATTTTAATACTATAAGCTCATTGGTAGTAAGAGCTCAATATATATCCTGTTCTGCTAGTGTGAGCTCAATATTTTATATCCTCTTCTGCTAGTGTGAGCTCAATACTTTGTATCCTATTCTGGTAGCAAGAGCTCAATTACATAGTTGATTTATCCCACTCCACTTGCATGTGGTCTGTATTGATTTATCCCACTTCACATGTATGTAGTCTGTATTGATTTACCCCACTTCACTTGTATGTAGCCTGTATTGATTTATCTCACTTCACTTGTATGTAATCTGTATTGATTAATTTCACTTCACTTGTATGTAGTCTGTATTGATTTATTCTACTTCACCTGTATGTAGTTTGTATTGAGTTATTCCACTTCACTTGTTTGTAGTCTGTATTGATTTACCCCACTTCACTTGTATGTACCCTGTATTGATTTATCCCACTTCACTTGTATGTAGTCTATATTGATTTATCCCACTTCACTTGTATGTAGTCTATATTGATTTATTCCACTTCACTTGTATGTAGTCTGTATTGAGTTATTCCACTTCACTTGAAAGTAGTCTGTATTGGTTTATCCCACTTCACTTGTATGTAGTCTATATTGATTTATTCCACTTCACTTGTATGTAGTCTGTATTGAGTTATTCCACTTCACTTGTATGTAGTCTGTATTGATTTATCCCACTTCACTTGTATGTAGTCTATATTGCTTTATCCCACTTCACTTGTATGTAGTCTATAGACAGACAGTATGCACTGGCTCTCCAGAGTTCTGGCTGCCAGGGCTTGTTTATAAATCGGCCTATTGTAGCTTTTTTTTAATTACAAAATCCATTTCCTAATTATACAGCTGTGTTCTAATAATATAGCAATAGCAGAATCCTGTCTCCGATACACTAAGGTTGTGTGTCGGCCTCTGGCGTCTTCACTGCGTTCTTGGCCAACTCAGTAACCGCCTCCCGCACACCAATCGGCACGTCTACTTTATCGCCCTCGTGTTCTGATTCGTTTGTTTTGTCAGCGGCTCCTTCTGATTGGCCCGTTTCCTCAGCAGCGTGATCTGTATCTACTCTCACCTCCACTTGTTCTGCAACATTCTCTTTCTCAGCCCCGTCCACCTGTACAGGTTGAGCCCCACCCGCCTGTGCACTCGGCTTTGTAGGTATGTCCATCGTATTCGTGCGGTCCTCATCCGCCACACCAGGTGCAGGTGTCTCATCGCCTCTAGGACTAGCTGCACCTGTTTCCGCTATGCTGGTATGCGTGCTTGCTTCTGGTTTGTTGGCCGTAGACCCCGTCAGATCACTGACCATCCCCACCATTTCTCCCACAGCCGCCAACGCCTGCTGCAACTGGCTCGTGCTGTCCCCGACCTCGGGCTGTGGGACCGGTCCTGTGCCCTCATCATCCGGGACACTCTCAGTCGTTATACTCTCAAAAACGGGCGCAGATGGGACCGAGGTCTGTATATCATCATCCTCTCCCTCACTGCCTGGTTCACGTGGGGTTGTGCTTGGCGTCAGGGCGGTAGATAAGAGGCCCGAGTCTCCAACCGAGTGTATGGTGGCCAATGGCTCCATACCGTCTGCCGGTGCTGCCTGCGTCGTCTCCGAGGCACCCAACTGCCTGTCCAGGGCCAAGGTTGCCCCACACTGTGTAGTAGAAGTGGTACCTGCGCCACTTGCAGCCGCACCTGGGCCTGCGAGTTCGGTTGCCGTGGTGTTGGCGGGTGCTTCGGCCAGAGGGAGGCTCTCGCCACTGGCGGTGCTGTATCGTTTAGGTAGCAGCGTCATCAGCACATCCTTCATGGCCATAAGTACCTGTGCGTTGGGGTGGGTGTATGTAAGTAGACTGAGAAGCACACAGTAAGGGGTATTGGTGTGGTTGGATTTGAGGAGGATAATAACAAAGAAGTGTCGAATGTACCTTTGAATTGGGGTGGGTGTATGGAAGGAGACTGAGAAGCACAGTAAGGGGTATTGGTGTGGCTAGATTAAAGTTAGGACAAGAACTAAAAATTGTCGCAGGATATCAAAGGCTCCAGATACGCGTAACTATAAACCCTCAATACAAGGCCCACGGCAGCTTGTTTGTATTTATCGCTCGTACGCTGTCACTCCGGTTCTTATATCATCGAGAACGTATGGATTCATATCTATAAATATAGACACCCCCTCTCCATCCATCCACAACGGCAACCGATACTCAGTGATGCCTTGTGCGCATAAATGTAAAACTTACATGCATACACAACATCACCCCTGACAAACGTACCTACATTCTCACATATATGTAAAACACACATGCATACACAACATAACCCATGACAAACGTACCTCCGTTCTCACAGCCGCTTTCTCGGTCTCGTTCAGCCCCGCCTGGCCGTCTGCCGCAACCTTGGCTTCAGTGGCCCTATCAACAACCGTCTGCAATTCCGCCGTTGCCTTGGAAACCGTATCCACGGTCGTTGCCAACACCGGAGGTGTTGTGGCTGGGGCAGGGGCGCCTGCGGGTGCTGATAGTGCCTGTGAAGGTTCGGCAGCTTTGCTCGGTGCCTCGTGTGTAGGTAGGGCTTGCGCCGGTAGCGGTGTTTCGCTGAAGGGGATGGATTCGACGGGTTTCAGGGCGTCCGTAGTGTCCCGAGTGGCGGCCAACGTGTCGACAGCCTGAGTGACAGATGGGGTACAAGTGTGGGGTGAGCTGAGTGGCGGTAGGCTTAAGGGCGGTGTACTGTGTGGGGGTGTCTCTATGTGCGGACAAGTACGCGTAGGTGATACTATCACAAAGAAAGCGTAGGCGACTACCGGAACGTGAACATGCTTTCGGGTACTTTCGGGTACGGATGTGAAACGAGACTTGAGATATGCGCTCAGCACATCTGTATTTACGTATACGAGCGCATACATATACATTGAATTCAGCATATATGTATTCACGTATACGAGCGTATACATATACATTGAATTCTGATCTGATACTCGAATAGGGGTGTCGCTAGAGCGACAATACACTGACTGGCTGGAAAAGGGCTGGACAGGTGATAGAAGCAGGACTTACAATTGATTGTCTCAAATCATTCACATTTCCTATGTGTTGATATACCAGGACTGACAACAGCCGAATTTAAATGTAGACGAATGCTCTCCGGATGAAGTATATACAAATAGATGTACATGTTTACGGCAGGGTTTAGAGTTTAAGGTTTAGCGCTTAGAGCCTGAACCCCTAAAACTCTAAACGCCCAGATGAAGCATCGTGCGCAACCAATTAATACACACCAATAGATGAACATGTTTACGACAAAAGATCCTATTCACATATATTTCGTTAGTCAGAAACATTGACCAGATTAGGAAACTCTACGAGACAATATGAATAGCATATACCACTATACAGTGAAACCCTAAAACCCTAAAACAATATGAATAGTATATACCACTATACAGTGTCTGATTATATGCAATACCTCAGCCACGGCTTCTGTGACCACTTCGGGCAGAGGCACCTCCTCAATCTCATCGAACGGGAGATGTCCGTTGCACAGTGCCAAGTCGTCGTTGAACATTTCACACCTGAGTGTCGGACGCATATGTGTAAGGAGAGTGCGAGAACTAAACATTAGAACTATATATATGATATATATATATATATATATACATGTACATATATATACATATATCTATATATATATATATATATAGTTGGATTTGGTAGACACCAGATTTTCATATTCTTAGAACCCGCATTGGTAATTGTAGAATCTGTGTCTGTAATATGTGCGTGGTTGCTGACAAATCACCGGGCACTGGATGCTGGACACCGGCTGCAAACCTTCTTCGCTTGGACATGGCAGGCGTATGTGGCAACAGGTGACGAGTACTGAATCTATGATGTGTGTACGTGCGACTATTCTGCATTTCATTTTATATCGTTTCATTTCATTCCTTCTTGAATTGTTTGTATGGACAGGATACTGCACAAAAAACCCCTAAAACTATAAACCCCTAAAACCCGTATACACCGATATGTATGCATTTCCACATGTATAAACTATGTTCACATCAAGTACCACCTAGCACCCACACCTCTAATATCCACGTACTACATAGAAGGCCACCTTAAGATCAACCTGAATTGTACCCGTAAATTGTTCTATTTATAGGACAGTCCATAATAGGCACCAATGGCACTCCAAGACTTCTCGGAAACTCAAACAAAAGCCCAAAAGACGTACGATATCTCACTCAGTGAGTGAGATGGACACTCCTCTGTTCTATATATAGGATAGCCCATATTAGACACAAATGGCACTCCAAGAGGTCTCGACACTTAAAGCAAAAGCCAAGCGATGTCTCACTCAGTAAGCGAAATGGACACTCTGTCACGGAAAGATATAGAGCACGTATAAGTACACAGCACACAAGTACTACGGCAGACTACTGTCTCCAAACAGTCGAGATACCTACTATCTCAAAAGCACTTGAACATACACGTACACGTACACGTAAACGTACAAGTACACATACCCGTACATATACACATACACGTACACATACGTATACACATACACATACACATACACATACACATACACATACACATACACATACACATACACATACACATACACACCCACACCCACATACACCCAATCAAATAAAGTACCGAACTCTCTCCGGCACATACCACGCCCGCCGTTTCTCCGGCGACCAGCCACTTCTGCCCGTTAGCGGCGCCTTATCCAGTGTGGCAACCAACGCACTTCGAGCCTTTCTGGCGATACTCTCCAGACCACTGACCGAGATCAACCCTTGTTCAAAGGCAGCAACAGCCGCACCTACGTACGTGTCGAAGAAGTGAATGCCCATACTCTCCCATAGCTCACGGCTGCCTTCCTCGTACCTGTGGGTAGGGTTTCATAGGGCGAGGGTGAGGCGACTGGGCCGTGGCATTGGAATAGAGTTTTTCCGCGGTGTATGTGCGGGTAGATAGGCAATTGGTTGAGACGTTTTGTCATCCCATCCATCGTAGAAATCTGGCTTACTCTATA